AGGCGGGGAGTGAGCCCACCCGACACCTCCGAAACTGTCCCCACCCTGTGAGGTTTTAACTTGAACATGACGTTGCTGTCACGGAGGGGGAAATCTAGAATATGGTTCAGTTTTAAAAGTATCTCTTGAGTGTGCTTTTTTTTCCTGATTGAACAAGTACTATGTCTCAAAACATTTACAAAATAAAATACAATGACCTCCCATTTCTTAAGACCCACAGACAGCCACTGCTCAGCTCTTAGGTCAGCCGCGGGCCTCAAACTCGAGCATTCAGGAAACCCCTGCAGGGCTGGTGCCCATGCAGCCTGGTGCCCATGCAGACTGCCAGGCCCCAGCAGAGTTCTAGGGGAAGCCGAGGACTTGCCTTCCTAACAAGGCCCCGGGGTTGGTGTGGCTGCTGTCTGGGCACAACGTTTCAGAAGGTTCCAGACCTGGTTTTTGGTGTGTGTATATGTCAGGAAAAATGACATCCAAGTCCACCACCAACATCTCTTCTGTAACTGTTTCACATAATGACCCTGGGGACACCTTTCCATGGGAATTGTCGTCTACAACGCATTTTAGCTGACACTTACATTTCACTGTTTGGCTGTAAAACGTTAGCCAATTCCTCCCTGCTGGATATTTAGCTGTTTTCTTTTTGGCTCTTATAACATCACTGCCTATGACAGTATTTATTGAGCACTTACTGTGTACCAGGTTCAGTATGAGGTGTTTTCCACAATCTCATGTACTCTATCATTTACCACCCACTGATGAGGGAGGCATGATCGTTATGCCTCTGAGCCTCCTGACGCTTAGGCTTCAGAAAGGGAAGGAAAGCCATGTCCAGAACCCCAGGGCAGGTCCCAACTCTGTCCCTGACTACCTGTGTGACCTTGGTCCTCAGTGTCCCCAATTGTGCTGGGGGTGATCCACTTCTAAGGTCCCTCCCTGTGGACTCTCACACTCAAGAATTATTTTCCCTGAAGCTTTGGGGGCGAGAGAGGGAAAAGGCAGGTAGGGGACTTCACTCCTCCCTGGCACCCTCACCAGGGCACAGTGACAGCAAGGGCATTTCTCCCAGGCCAGCAAACCTTGCTGGCACTGTCAGGCCCCCAACCAGGCCATCTGAAGTTCAAAACCACAGGTAAGAGGGCCCCAGCAAGGTGGACCCTGACCCTGGGCCAAGCTTTTGAGAAGCTGCAAAACCTCCATCCCCGGGCACGGGAACTCTAGGCATAGAGTGAGAGGCAGCTCTTGGTGTGGGTGGAGGCCACGGACCAGGAGGCCGATATTGGGGTTCTAATCCTAACTCTAGCACTCACTGATGGTGTAACCTTGGGCGAGACCCTCACTCTCTCTATGCCTCAGTTTCCTCATCTGTAAAACGGGGACAATACAGTACTTGTCCCATGGGGTCGTCATGGGGGAGTTCACATGGGGGCGCTTACAGCAGAGCTGGGCACAGGGGAAGGGACAGGAGGAGCACTGGGGGGTCCTGGGGAGAGCCACCTGCGTCCACCATCATCTCCCACGGCCCCGGCCCCTTTCCTTTGTGTTCCCCTGGGGAACCCAGAAGTGAGGGGGCCTGTGATCAGCTGCCCCCGTCAGAATCCTCCGTCCATCCCGCTGTTCACCTGTGTGAAGTCCCTATCCCTCCCGCACGCCCGCCTCAGAGGTGAGCACAAGCTGCGGCCAAGCCCCTGGCACACAGCACAGCGCCCGCACTGTGTTTCAACCCTTGTCCTCTGAGCAATCAGCCACTGGCCCCGAGGTGGCACAGCAGTGCCTGTGGTGGCCTTGAGCCCAGCCTTCCTCCTCTGCTGGACAGGGGCTGGCTGTCCAGTCCCCCCGCCGCTCCCACCACTCACCAGCCACACCATGAAGTAGGAGAAGACGGCGATCCACAGTGTGGCAGTGACGAAGGTGACCATGAACAGCTTCTCCCAGCGGGGCTTACTGCAGTTGGGGATGGTGACACACAGGAGGAAGATGAGGGGCCAGGTGAACACCCACTTGGCCTTGTCCCCTCGTGCTTCTGCAGGGGGTGGGGAAAGCAAGGAGGGAAGGGGGGAGAGAGACACGGAGTTATACACCTCCCAGAATCCTAGGCTTCCATAATGTCACTCTGGAAGCAGCAGGACAAAACAGTAAGCATGTGCAGACTGGCTAACTGTAGTCTTTTCAAATCCTTCATTTGTTAGGACTCGGGAGGTGAGACCCAGAGCAGGGAGGAACCTGGCCAGGGAGCTGGGATGTGGATGTGGTTGAGCTCTGGAATCCCACGGATGGACGGGCTGGAATTCAAATGACCTTGAGTGACCCCATCAGTGTTACTTCCTTCCCCGAGGATAACAGTCATGCAAATACAACAATGTGGCGATAATCAACACAGCGCTGGCCATTTTGTATACTATTCATTTCTTCATCTGTGAAGTAGCAACAAAATCTCTTGGTTGTTGCAAGAATGACGGGACACAGTCTGAGACCTCAGCAAAGAGCCCAGCACACAGTCAGTACTCAGTAGATCTCCGGCTTCTTCGACCAAGGTCACACAGTCAGCCTATGACAGGTGCAGAGTAGCCTAAGGTGTGTGCCTTGTCTGGCGGTCCCCAACACTGGACCCTGCCAAGGAATTCCCACACAATTCAGCCAAGGAAAGGTGGCCTCAGGAAGTCGACGGGTGTAGCAGTGTCCTTAATGAGACACCAGGTATGGGTGTGCGGACGGCAGTGCAGGAAGCACCTTTGAAATTCTCTGTAAAAGCAGTGGGGACAATGGCAAAAATGGTGACAATCTTTTTTTTCAGAACTCCAGAAATCAGTCAAAGGTTGTGGCAATCCAGGATGTCTATTTAGGACATCAGCGAGATCCCAGTGAGCCGCGGAGGTTCTTACTTTCCCCATTTCCAGTCCCTCTCACCTGCCAACCAGCAGCCTGCAGTCCCACTTACGGCCAACAGAGGGGGCAGGTTGTGACTGACGTTTCCAAACCTGTGAAAGGGCCTCCAAGAGCCTGCATCTACCCTCTTAGAAACCTCCACAGAGCACTTGGGAAGCCCCCCCACCCCCACCCCACCCCCAGAATTACTGTTATGGACCTCTCTGGTGCTTCCTGG